CAAAGCCAGTCCAGGCAGGAAAGTCCATGACACGCTTATTTCCACTTAACTACCAAAGAAAGCCAGAAGTGGAGCTGTGGTTCAAGTGGCAGAGTGCTAATTTTGAGCAAAACAACTCAGAGAGAGCTGAGTTCAAACACCAGGGCTGGCACACACGTGCATGTGTGCACACACACAGAACCAAATGAGAGCCCGAGGCCCTGAGTTCACACACACACACACACACACACACATACACACAGACACACACTTATCACACTTGTCTCTAACAAAGAAAACGTTTTCACTGGAGATGATCTACCCCAAGTACTCTACCTAGGACCTGATGTGCAAGAAAATCCATGTGCACCAAGACCTCCAACTTTCCCCACACCCTGCCTTCACACTACAGATGGGTGGAACATTCTCCATGTGGGCACAGTACTAGCATCGTGCTGGGAGCACTCTGCACATGGGCACAGCACTAGCATAGTGCTGGGGGTACTCTGCACATGGGCATAGCACTAGCCCCATGCTGGGAGCACTCTGCACATGGGCACAGCACTAGCACCATGCTGGTGGTACTCTGCATATGGGCACGGCACTAGCACCATGCGGGGAGCACTCTGTGGCAAGGAGCTCCTGCCAGGAGAGAGGTGCTGCTGATGTGGCAACAGGACCACAGATCTGCTTCCCCTGCTTCTGTGCAACAGGACAAGTGTGAACTGGAGAGCTGGGCATTGCTGGAGCATAGCTAACCACCCTTGATTCCCAACTAGTCAACAACCCCCTCTCCTTCCCCAGCTGGGAAGAGAGGTCATTTTGCTTGTCACAGTTCTTCACAAAGACATGGACCAGACCATCTCTATTTCGATGGCCATGGTTGGGGGAGCAGTGCCTTTTCATTTGCAAAGAACCACAACTAAAATAAAACTTTACTCTCCTACTAAGCAGGGTGTCAGCTTTCATGGGCAGATCCTGGCTCCTTCTGCTTCCTGGTTTATTTGATCACATCGTTGTTACTATTCGTTGTGTTGTTTCACTTCGATAGGTCATGACAACCCTATGTAGGGTCTACACATCACCCCCATGGCCATCATTGGCAGCCTGTGAGACATGAAGATTCGTGGCCCCCAACTAAATCAACAGAACCAGAGTAACGAAGGATCTGGCCAGGAGGGCATTCCCGCAAGCACTTGTGATGATTTTGAAGCAGAATGAAATTTGGGAATCATTGTTTTGGAGAATAAGAAGAGTAGGAATATAAAGGAAGCAAGCTTTGTGATTCTTACTACCAAGGAAACAGAAAAGCAAATTACTCAGAAATAAGCTGAAGTCTCTGTTGGTATCTAGAAATGAAGCTGTTTGAAAGGCATCACACAGAGATGGAGAGCTCTTAAATGCCATTTGTCTTGAGATTTCAGTGTGCATGAATGTATGTGTGTGTGTGTGTGTGTGTGTGGATCACATTTACTAGATTACAGTGTACCACATCCTGACATCAAAGTACTAGAGTGTAAAAGACGTAACTTGGATTCCCAACAGCACTGCTGTCCTCCACGGGTATACATTTAGACATAAAAGTCAGAACCGTCGCTACATCCTCGGACCAGGCTGCCACTGCTTGGCACATGCATGATGTGGCAATCTTACTTTGCAGGTTTTCCTAAGTGGCTCGGCCAGCAGAATTTACTTAACATTTGCAGACAAAGCAACTGTGGTTCCAAGAAGAGAAATGTTATTTATAAATCAAATGTAATATTTACCTGGAAGTGGTCAATTCCAACTTAGCAATTAATGACTACAGAGTGATAGATCTTAGAGAGGTGTGTAAACAGTGTGTCCCTGGGTGCAGACAGGGAAGTCCAGGGAAGCAGAGTGAATGTGAGCCCAGCCAACAGTGACACTTGCTTACTAAATAATTTTAACCAGGAAAAATAATTTTAAAATAGTATGTTTCACATTGTGGCGATTTCACAAAACCAGTAAAAATTATTACCGTCCAACTGTTTTAACTGCCACAGCCTCAGGGTGAGCAACGGAAATGAGATTAATGTGACCATTATTTAGTGAGCTTGACCACTTTAAAAATTGGGCACTTAATTATCTTCCCTTTAGCTATTCTATTTTCCAACTAGCAGTGTTCTTAAAAATAAATTTTTCATCCCTCTCTCATTCTCTTTTCTCATGAAGACAAAAGGAATCTTATTTGTGTCAATGATGCTAATTCAATATCCTTTTTATCCCTGTACCCCAAATAAGAAATCATATCTTGAGAAGTTTTATTTAGTTTTCATTTCTAATAGACATTATATCAGCTCATGAGCAAATCTAGATAATTAATCATTTTTTCATTAATTATGAGAACAAAGAGGTAGGTATATTTTATTTCTCCTTGACATGAGTGGGTCTCTTATGTTGCATTAAAATTAAGTGAGGCATAAAAATAAATAGTAGATGCGCCCAGAAACTGCAAGAAAAATTAAGAATGAACAGGACTAAAAATAATACTAGAAGAAAAATAATGTTTTAAAGGAAACATATGCTGAGGCTTTGTTATTGACAAAAAAAGGAAAATGCCTTAGTAAATATTGTGGTAATTTGCAAGCTTTCTGAGTTATATTGTTAATGAGTAAATCTGAAGCAAGTTAATCGTTGAAATTAGGAACTCTACCCTGCTACTCACTAAAGTACTATGCAGAAACTACAGAAAAGAAAAGCAGGCTTAGAACTCAGTGTAGAACTCAGTTGGCAGAGCTGCACTAGAGCGAAAAAGCTAAGGAGCAGCATACCAACTCTGAGTTCAACCTCTGCTGCTGTCAGTCAGGATTCTATTCTGTGCTGTCAGGCATTGGAATAGGTAGCCAGGGCTGTGGTGGCTAACACAATCCATGTTAACGTAAAAGTGTCAGATGATAACACATTCAGAAGTCTGCCCTTGCATAAGCAGTATTCTGTAATGTATCTGTGCTAATTCAAGAATTTAGTTTCATTATGAGACAATTTTTATCTTCAAAATAATTATTGGTCCTTTTCAAATCACATTATTGGAAAGGGGAAAATAAATATGTTTATACTACCCCCCCCAACATAGGTCTAATGTAAGAAATGTTTTCAGTTTCATGTGATCACTTTTAACCTGTCTTAAATCATAAAAGCCCACAGACAGGCTTAGCTGGAAAGGCGGCACAAGTTCTTTCTGGTAAGCAGATTTGTAAGTTGTTTTTCAAACAGCAGGTGGCAGTCTTCGTAAGTGTGATTGCACTTGGGCTATCTTCACCTGTGTACATCAAGCAGGATTTTAGAATGTGGAAGAACCTTAGGAGATAGGAGTGGTTTAAATATTTCAAATCTTAAAACGGTCTTGTTTAATCACACTTTACTGTTCTCAGGAAATGTCTCTCTTGAAAAAAATACATGTTTTTGCTTGACACTTGTTCATTTTTGTGGAGCAGCACAGGGATTTCATCGTGATACCTGCACTGGTTTCCCACTCACTCAAACTCTACATGCTGCTTATTTCTCACCACTCTCAATTCACATGGCCTGGAGAATTAATACACTTAATTGTAGAGCTCAAGCTCAAAGAAAATCTGCTGACTCGTAGCTCCTCCTAGAGTCCAGCTGCTGTTGGTATTCTTGCTGCTGAACTGGGAAGCATTTTTAGAATTCTGATTATGCACAATGACAAAGTTTTGATTTCTGAGTGCCTCTTAGAATAACCTAGTTTCTATAAATGGATATGGTCATGTTAGAGGCAGGAGTATCTGGCTTCTGAACTAGAAAGGAGCCCCACAGGCAGCTGTGTCTCCCATTACCCATGCATCTGGACAGCCAAGGAGATGCAGCCTGGACCACAGAGCTCAGCTCTACTAAATGCAGCCCATGTGTCTACATCTCCTTATGAAATCTTAAGAGCTCATCCTGTTATCCACTATGTTCATAGCATTTTTGGTTATGGTATTATACTAAAATTACAATTACTGAATTTTCTGTGTGTCATGAATATTTCACAACATGCATATTTCTTTTTACTGTAGGTACTAGGGTCTGAGCTCAAGACTTCATGATCTTGCTTGGCTTTTCTGCACAAGACTGGCATCCTACTCCATGAGCCATACCTCAACATCTGGCTTATTCTTTGCTAACTGGAGATAGGAGTCTCACTGACTTTTGTGTTCAGGCTATCATTGAAACCTGATCCTCAAATCTCAGCCTCCCAAGTAGCTAGGACTACAGGTGTGAGCCACTGGGACCCAGCTTGGTGTATGCATGTGTTTAAGAAGAAATCTGTCTTTCACATCATAGAAATCTGTTCACTATAGTCTGACCATTTCTAATCTTGCATTCTTTGTAGTGCTATGTGTAAAATCTTCCCCCCCCCCCCCAGGGCTGAGGATGGAACCCAGGGCCTTGTGCTCGCCAGGCGGGCGCCCTCCCGCTGCGCTAAACTCCCAGCCCCTATATGTAAAATCTTCTAATGCAGCATTATTTCATGTCTTTCATTAGTAATCGAGTAGCTACTTCTGTTTTAAAAACGTTTCTTGTTTGAATTTTCTTTTCGAGTGGAAAATGTGGAAAGGGACATAAATGGAGAGTTCCAGGTCATTCTTTAAGCTGAGATCAATTAGTGTTAGAGACCAAGCGTTCAGATTTCCACAGCGTTGTTTTATCTTCTAGGTTACCTGATGCTGTCCTGTGGCTGTGTAGATGACTGTCTGGGGCCACGGGTCTGCGCGGCCCCTGCGGTCTGGCCACACCTGAGCCCCCATCTCTCACCCGGGCGCCTCTTTCTTACCCGGGCACCTATGACCCGGAGCCTCTTTCTGACCCGGGCGCCTGTTTCTGACCCGGGCACCTCTGACCCGGAGCCTCTTTCTGACCCGGGCACCGCTGACCCGGGCACCGCTGACCCGGGCGCCTCTTTCTTACCCGAGCACCTCTGACCCGGAGCCTCTTTCTGACCCGGGCGTCTGTTTCTGACCCTGGCGCCTCTTTCTGACCCGGAGCCTCTTTCTTACCCGGGCACCTCTGCTCACTGCAGCGCCGCACTTCTTCCCCCGCGCCGTCGCACTGCTGCCCCGTGACCGCGGCCCCCTGGCAGGTCCGGACCCTTCGCTCCCAGCCGCCGTCGCAGGACCTGGAGCACCCGCTCCAGTGACCCCACTGGTTCCACTGGCCATTGGCTGAAAGACAGGGGTCATGGTCAGTGGAGCACGCCGCCCCCGGAAGCGCATGCCACACACGGGGTCAGCCTGAGACCCGCCCACTGCTTCTCCGGAAGTGCCTGCCACACACAGAGTCAGCCTGAGAACCATTCACTGCTTCTCAGGAAGTGCCTGCCATATATGGAGTCAGCCTGAGACCCGCCCACTGTCACCCGGAAGTGCCTGTGACACACGGGGTCAGCCCGAGGCCTGCCCGCTGTCCGCCCCTTCAGCTTTGGTCCGCGGGTCCCCACGGTGATGTTCCGAGTCCTTCTCGGCCCTTGGATGGCTGTGCACAGCAGCTCTCCAGTTCTTTCCTCTCCGACAAGTCCAGCGCCCATTAACTTTGTTCATCTCTGAATCTCCTCAACTCCCGACTATGGTGTATAGAACGGGCTTGGTACAACCCCCGTCACTTATACACACACCCACACCCACACCCACATATGCACATACACACCCACCCACCCCACACACATATGCACATACACACCCACATGCACATACACACCCACACACATATGCACATACACACCCACCCACCCCACACACATATGCACATACACCCCCCCCCACACACCTTACTCCATGACTGTGGCGCGCCTGGTGGCGCCCTCATCCCCTCACCCCCGCAGGCCCAGCCTCACCTGTGCACTCTGGGTTGTAGCACTCTCTGCTCTCGGCCCAGGGCCCTCGGCACTCGGAGCCCCCGTGAGCCGCGGCTGTGCACTGCCGGCTTCTCTGCTGCGTCCCGTTTGAGCACGTGACAGAGCACTGGCTCCATGAACTCCACTCCTGCCACTGTCCATCGACTACCCAGGCAGAGAGAGAGGGAGAGAGAGAGTCATTCAGTGCAGTTCAACAGCACAAGGTAAGATCACCTTTGCAGTGAACCTGTCAACAGATTCACAATTGAAAACCACCAGGTCACCCTGGCATGAGATTTTACTACTGTTCCCCGAATTACTGCCACCTGCTTTCTCACACCTATTTTTTTAGTACCCACAGTATCTATTTTGATTCACTTCTCTCTTTTTTCAAAAAGAAAAACAACTCAGCATTTAAAATGTACACGCCCTTGAGCTAGTCCTTAGAACATTGGACAGTAAATTAAATACTGAGCAGTTCAACAGAGAAGTTACATTTGAGAAAAGGAATCCCTAAAAATAAGTTAGTTACATGCTAAATAAGCCAATTATAGAGTGTGTTGCCAAGATTGATTTCAGAACGCTGTGAGAGAAGAGCTCAGAAGAGCTGAGTGCTTTCCCTCACAACTTGAGGTTTCAGCAATTATGGCGAACACTGGGAAAACTGAGAGACAAGGCTTGCTGCTGAGGAAGCAGGAGTACATGCAGGATGGAAGGAAGACCAGTGCCAGTGGACTCCAGAGAGGCCCAGCATCGAAGGGCTTTGGTTGGCTTCATTGAGAATTTTGGCCGCTGTACTCATTAAGGAGCCAGGACATGTCTTAATGCATGAGTCCATGATCACATCTAGTAGTGGGTAGAGAGGAAAAGGTCTAAGGTAGGGCCAGGATATCTGGTGAGATTGGAAAGCTACCGAGGAAGGATGGAGGGGGAACTCCAAAAGAATGGTCTCAAGAAACAAAGCCGGTGATCAAGTAACGGACCCACTCGCAGTACTGATCACAGCAGTTCACAAGGCTATGGAGCCTGGCTTGTCTTTACAGATTCACTTAACCATCACTCATTTAATCAAATGATTTTGATAATCTGTTAGTTAGAAGACATGGTGATGCATGTTAATTAAAAATAAAGGAAAATAGACACAAGTTCCAACTTCAAGATTGTAATATTAAGGACATCAGGTGGTAAGAGAAAGGTCAAAGCTAAAAACATATTTTGTGTCTAATGGTGTAGAGACAGGATCACCTTAGCCCAAGCTGGCCTTGAACGCACAATCCTCTTGGCTTAGCCTCTTGAGAACAGGGATTAGAGGTGAGCACCACCACTCTCAAGAGCAAACACATGTCACAGGCAGTGTTCAGGGCTTTTCGGACAGAGAAAATCTGTTTGGGGAGCAGATAGTATGGGAATAAAGTGAGACCAAATAGTTCAGACAAAGGAAATGATACCACCAAAGGCCAGTGCTACAAACAGAAATGAGCAAAGGACGCAGTATAAAACACCTGCTAAGAGCAAACAATCTCGCATGTGTTATGAAAGCCCTAGAACGTAGCCATCTTAGCTTTCCCAAAGATTTTCCATGGTAGAAAGGCTGTTTGATCATAGGTAAAAGAGAATTTACCATACTCCAAAGTTCTGACATAAGCTAATGCTGTTATAAAACAACACAACAACTCAAAACCCTGTCCAAGCAAAGCAGAGGCTGGCAGAATCTGAGGAAAGACTTTCAACCTAATTTCAAAGCTTTGTGTGTAGCTATTACATGGTAGGTTGTTTAATAGCTATCTAGCTGTACTTAATAAACCTTCTCTGAGATTAAAAATCACAAAATGCCACTTTGATCATTGCATTCATGTAATTTTAGCATCTGACTTTATTAAAAATATTTGATAAAATCTGTAGCCAATGTAGCATATGTACCAGACAGAAAAAGTTCTAGTAAATTAGTAGAACATTATAAACCATCAACTTACTGAATAGAAGTGCAACTTTTCAAAGATAAGTCTCATAATAAAGCCTACATTACAAATCTTTGTTATTCTAAGACATATGAGAAGGGTTTGCAACAATGAGATTCATACCCTGAACATTACAAAATAGTTGGCAAAGAAATGTGCAAGCATGTATATTACTGAAAGCATCCAAAAAGCAATGTGCAGATAAATGATGCCAGCTTAATCTAAGTTGATAAAAGAAGGAAGGAACTGTGTTGTGTCCTTGAATGTTTTGGGTTGCAATGCCTTTTACCTCTGATTTGTCACAAGTGTAGAAGTAACATGCACTGGATAAGGGAGGGCAGGTTGAGGAAATGCACAAACCCAATATGGATTCTGGAGAAAGGACAGCTTGGCAGTTTGTAGTTTTATAAGGATCGAGAAAGGACTGCTGAAATGAGATTAGGGAAAAATGAGGAAAAAAACCCCCATGTTTTACTCACTAGATTTTTCCTGAGAGATGACTTTGCTTCACCATCAGTGAAACAAAAATATAAGGACTTTAATTCATATATCTGTAGTATTTGTTGTTCAATCCTTTTTGATAATGTATATATTTTACATCTTGGCTGAAGCTCAACAATAAATTGATATTTGGCTCCTGAGTATAATATGATATTAAATACCACTGGGACATCATGGAAATATTTGGGATATGAAGTTTTGTTTACAGTCAACTACATAAAAAATTAATAAAACTGAAGATGCATCTGGTGGGTGATATTTTTTGCTATTGTACTTAAAATTGAAAATTGGAAAGTCATTTTATTGAGCATTAACTGCAGACAACAGGAAGACAGTGAGATGAAGGAGATAAGAGGATGTCAGTTCCAGCAGGCCTTGTACCCGAATCCCAGATTGCTAGGAAAAGCAAGCAGAGGAATCACTCATATGCAGCTCTGGGCAAATACTGAGGTCTAGCCAGCTGTGTGCGTCTGGGGAAAGAGAGAAAGCTGGGGACACTGGAAAGAAGGGATCAGATGGTATGCAAAAGAAATTATAGGATTCTATTGACCTTGTGTAAACAAAGGAGACGTAGATCTACAAGAGGGTTTTAATGCAGAAAAATGACATAGTTTATCCTTTTACATTTATTTGAAAACAATCTTGCTGTTGTGTATTCAGTGCTTTGTGCAGGGGCCAGGATACTGTGAAAAACTAGGATTCCATGTTGCTGTCAACTTGGGCAGTGGAAGCTACTATTGTTTTAGAAACAGGAAGATGAATTTGTGTTGCTCTCTAGATGCACAGATGATAAGTTGCAGGGAGGGTGTGAAGAAAAATAGAATCAGGTTGACTCCTTTTGCTTAATAAGGTAGGTAAAGAGTAGATAGGTTTACTGAACTATTATATTAGTGTTCAAATAAATAGGGAAAGATATTCAGCCCAGAAACCAAGGTGTCAGGTTTTATGATATTGTTTTAGACATAGAATTAGACTGTAGAATTAAACAGAATTTGTTGCAAATTGTGCGTCTATGGTTTAAAACAAATTCAGAGACTTGACTACTTGTTTACAGTAAACTAACTACAACTCCAAGAATTTACATAGACTGAAAATGACATAGGAATCCAAAAGAAAGTGGAAGCAGCTATGGTTATGTCAAATAAGACAGCTTCCAAACTGGAAGCAGCAAAATGAACAAAGAAGGTCCTGTACAATGATGAAGGGACCTATCAGCAAGAAGAAATAGCAATTCTGAATATTTATCCAATATCAGACCACCCAAACCAATGCTAAATATTATAGGCATAAAGGAGGTGAATTCAAATACAGTAAGAGTTGGGGACTTCAACACCCTTATTTTTGGAAAATCAACAAGAAAACAGCAGTGTTAATTTGTACCTGGGCTACATAGAAACAACAGACAGCTATGTACTATGCGCCCCGAAGCCTTTGATCCTCTGCTGCAGAAAACTCACCCTCCTCTGCTCAGAGAGTAAGCTCTAGGACAGCATGTGTCACCAGATAAAGCTCAAGAATTCAAGCTGTGTTGAGCCATGAATATCTTGTCTACCTACAATGTAATAACTAGAAACCATTGATTTACAAAGCCACCCAGCCTTGGAAATTATACCAACAGATATAAATTAAACCCCTTACTTTTGAAAAGCCAATGGACTAAGGAATAAGAAAGATCTTAAAATATTCTTGAAACAAATGGAATTGGAGGTACAGCCTGCATTACATAAAAGACAGGACCAAAGAAGTTTACAGAAATCAATGCTTATATATAAATGGCAGAGGACCCATCTGGAGCAGACAGCCTATCACCACATCCCAAGACTCCAAAGAAATGAGAACAAGCCAAAATCAAACTTAGTAGAAGAAAAAAAGTCAGAAAAACAATACATTATTTTATTTAAAGAGACTAAAAAACAATATACAATGTCAAAGACAATATAAAAAGCAAAGATTTGGTTCCTTAAAAAGACAAACAAAATAGACAAACCATTATCTGGATAATAAGACTCAAATCAATGAAATCAGAGACCAAATGGGAGACATTAGAGGGGACACCACATAAATAAAAAAGAATCATTGGAAGTTATTAAGAATCATGTCGACAAACTTCATGACACATGGACACATGAACAAATCCCTGGACACAAACATCTTCCCATGTGTGAGTCATGAGGAAATAGAAAATCTGAACAGATCAATAACAAATAATGCCATTGGATCAAGAACAAAAAATCTCCAGTAATAAAAGACAAGATGATATCACTTGAGTTTGGCCAAACAAATGAGGAACTGCCAAGATGAGGAGGTAGTGAAGTGGCAGAGCTCTGGCCTAGCAAGGGCATCATCTGAAGATGATCTTAGATACAGAAAACCTCAAGGACAATAGCTGAAATCCTAATGGAAATAACTAATTCAGAAAAGTTGTGGGACACAAACACATCATGTAAAAATCCTTAGTGCTGTTACATACCAATACCAAAGTATCTGAACAAGAAATCAAGAGAGCAATTCTATTTCTAATAGCTACCAAACAACAACAACAATAACAACGAAAACCCTAGGATAAATTTAACTGAAGAGGCAAAAGATCTTTACAATGAGAACAGTAGCATACTTGTGAAAGAAATTGAAGAGGACACAGACACAGAATGGAGGGACATCCAGAATTCATGAAGTGAAAGAATCATTATTATGACAAATATACATAAAACCCAAGGTAGCCTACAAATTCAATACAAACTATTAAAAACACTAATGGAATTCTTCACAGAATGGGAAGAAACACCGTTAATGTTGGGCTAGAGGTACTCTCAGTACTCAAAGCAATATTGAGCAAAAAGAACAAAGCAGGTGGCATTGCTCAGGTGAGTTCCTGTACAGTGCTGACCTGTAAGAATCAAGAGGCAAGAAAGCCACCCCCTCATCCACTGCAGGGGACAGGACAGAACTCCCAGAAGTAAACCCACAGATCTATGGCCAACTAAGAATTCAAGAACGTGAATTCCGGAAAGGACAGCCTTTTCAATAAATAGTTCTGGAAAAACTGTATTCACACAAGAAGAATGAAATCAGACTCTTACCTCTCATCATTTGCCAAAGTCAACTCCAAACATATTAAAATTTTTAATGTGAGACCTAAAGCTGTTGAATATGGTGTTGCTTGCTTGTCTTTAATCTCAGTAACTGGGAGGCTGAGACCTGAGGACTAGAAGTTCAAGGTCAACCCAGAATACAGTGTAAGGCTCTGTCTCAAAAATAAACAAAATGGCCAGATGTGGAGGTACTAATCTGTAATCTCAGCTACTCAGATGGCAGAGATAAGACACTGGCAGTTCAAGACCAACCCTGTGCAAAAGACAAATTCCTATCTAGAAAAAAGAAAGAAATTAAATACAAAACGTTCAGATCATTAGAATGGGCAAGAAGTTCTAGACTAGACCCCAAGCTCCAAAGACAGGAAAATAAAATGTCTGAATGTGACTGCCTCGAACCGCAGAGTGGGGACATCTGCAAACTGCACAGTGGGCAGGAAACAGCGCACAGTGAAGTGTTACACCAGTGTGGGCAAGGAATTCCTAAAACTAAGGATTGAGCAGGAAAATGGAGAGCAAACTGGAAGAGACAGGGCACCACTTGGCACACGCTGCACTATAACATGCAGTTTCTTCTATGCTAAGCAGGTTAGAGCGAACACTTCCTTGGGACTTTTCAACTCCAAATGCCCATTGCATTCAGAGTCATTCTACAAGGGGGCAGGGCGGGTGTTAGGAATAGAAAACGGAATGGCTGTGTGTAGAAGCAAGAGGAAAGCCAGTAATCAGACTGTATCCACTATATGCTGATGTCACATGACATAGGTGACCCTTCACTGCAGCAGTGTGACAAGGTGCCCAGGGGTTCTGCACCCAGACAGCCAACAGGACAAAAGGCCATTGCGTGGCCCTTACCCCACCAGATCCCCAGAGATGAAACCATGCTCAGCGTGGATCACAACTGCCCTCTTCTGGAACCCACTGGGGAGCATGGGTCCCCCTCCCCCTCCAGGGTGGAACATGGCCAGAGGAAGGGAGGGGAGAGCCCTGTTTCAGTGATGGTAGGGGTACAGGCCAGCTCCGATCCGCAGGGCGCCAGGTAGCCAGAGGCCTGGGAAGAGCTCTTCAGAAGGCAACAGATGAGGAACAGTGGGCTGAACGCTTGCTCCCACACAGGCTGAAAAAGCCAGAATCCCTGCTTTCTACCTGCAGGGTTAAAATCACTTAAAATTCCCCATTGTTTTTAAAAGCAAAATTGGATACATAAAAAGGGGGTCGTGGTAAGGTTCAAAAGGACTTAAAGAAGCTGGCAAGGGAATTACAAAGTTGAAATGATGGAAAATAGTAAAAATAAAACAAGCCAACATGAATGAAGACACAAAAGTGCAAAAATCTTACAACCTTGGAGTTGGAAGATGACCATTATAATGTTTAAAAATCCAAAATGAAGAAAAAAATTGCCATACAAGAGAGGAGAAGGTTAAGAGGTAAAATTCAAATCAATTAAAAGGCAGGCTAATGAGGCCGCAGGTTAACAAGGCCGGATTTGTGTGTCAGATGTTCACAAGGCTGTGCAGAGACAAGTGCGGGCTTCGAGGCAAGATCAGGTGAAGGTCAGGCCTCTTTGCACTGACAGCCTGTACCAGACAGACTCCCTGCAGAGGGCTGGGCAGGACGCCTCACACCTGAGGTCAGCCACGTGGAAACCTATTGCTCTAAAAACAGAGCCATTTGCATCTGGGATTGTCCTGGGAGCTCCCGCCTCTCTCAGCAACAGGCAGGGCTACAGGAATGTGTTTCTCAAGTGGGGTGCCCGCCCAGATAGACATGCCAGGAGGGGAATCCCCCAGCTTTTGACAGAGCCAGGGAAGGGTGATAACCTGACCTTCGTCCAGTCTCTTAGTATCGTAATCCTCATACAAATCTTGATAAACCTCCTCCATTTTATATCAAATTTGATATATGCAGGGTACCCTCACCTAATTTTAATCATAAGGGCCCTAGGACATAAAAGTTTAATAAACATTAACTTCATTTCACAAATATTGCCTAAGTAAATATTTCCAATTGAGTATTGCAACTAAAATCAAATTCACTGGTTCTGAATTCCAGACCACGTTTCCCCACTAAAACTACATTTAAACTAAACCTTTTCCCCCCATAACACCTAGTTACATTTAGCTTTGCATATTTCAGTGTGCAAATGGGACTTGGTGACACAGGTGTTTCATTATTTCAGTCTTGTGTCTGTTACATGACTGTTACGTAGCTGCTTTACCCTCTCATTTGGAGTATATCAATATATAGCACACCACATCACCTCAAAGACACAAGTAAGAGCCACAGTAAAACCCACAAATTAACAAATATATTTTTCCTGGCTAATATGAGTTGATGTACTTCTTAGATAACCGAAGCAGGCATTCCCTTTTTCTAGAAAATATATTCAGATAGTTGAGTCATAGAATTGTCCCCATACCCTACAGCAGCCAATCCCGAACAAAGTTCCTTTTGTTAAAAATTTCCCTAAATCACATCAAAGAAGTTGGATTCCTAAATAAGTCTCTTTCCACACTCGAATTGACAGCACAGTTTCCTAGGCTGGCTTTTCCACACCGCCAAGAGTAACAAACTCACCTTATGATCTAGGCGAGTGCTGGGTGGACAGCACCAATAAAATAAGACAACGCTGTGCTGTGAGTTCTGCCACTCTCCGTAACTTTGTCCTCTCAGCTGTCCTATGTGCTCAGAAATACCATGTACACATATTATGGAAGAGTAAACAAGAATCTGCAGTAAATGTCTGGAGGTATGTGTGTGTGCACGGGCACGTGCATGTATGTGTTTGTATGTCCTTATGTGAATCAAACCCTTCTTCAGCACATTAGTTCATCACTAAACAGATGTAGAAAATGTGTGTGCCATCCCAGCTACTCAGGAGGATGAGATCTGAGGATCACGGTTCAAAGCTAGCCCGGGCAGCGAAGTCCGTGAAACTCGGGAACTATGGTACCGTGATGGTGGGGTGCCTGCGCAGAGGGGTCTGTGTGTGAACTTCCTGGTTCCTTGCTTGGGCGCCCGGTCCTGGGATCTATTCGGTGCGGAGCCTGGGATGCTGTGGCAGCGGCTGGGGCCAGGGCTGGGGCAGGGGGGGGGGTTGAGGGAGAAGGACAGGGCATGCATGCATGCGGAAGGTGGAGTCTGCGTCCCCGCGGCCCCCTGCCGTCACTCCCCGGCCGCCATCTGGTTCTCTGCAGACAGGCAGGCGTCCTTCTGGCCATCTGTGGCTGGGCGTGCACCTCTGCGTGTGCGCATTCTGCCCATGGTTTCTGAAAGTCTTGAGCACAGAGGCGGACCGCGCGCCGGCTACAGCCGCGTGTCCACGTTGGGACGCGTCCTGACGGCCGCGGGGGCCTGTCCACGGGGACGGGAGGGGCTGGGCCTGTGCGCGGGGAAGGCCTCCGGGAGATGGCCCAGGCCTGTGTGCCGGGAGAGGAGCGGGAGAGGAGCGGCTGGGCCTGTGCACGGGGCCGCGGGCAAGCCAGGCCGGGTCCTGAGGAATGGAGGCCATGGCCTGGGCTGTGCGGGTCGGGCCATGTCCCTGCTGCCCCAGTGTGCGGCGTGCGGAGCACGCGTAGAGACCAAGGCCACGGTGTGAGGCCGGTGACCACGATGAGGGTCCTGAACCCAGGATCCCCGAGGGCACGCGGGCTGAGCGCCTGGGAAACGTGGGTGCGCGTCCACGGAAGTCCCAGCACGGTGACCACAGGCGGGGACAGGGCGGGCGGGGACCGGGAGGAAGGACGGGGAGGACGGGGTGCTCACCCGGGCACAGCGCGATGTTGCACGGCTTGTGGTGCGTCTCTGGGCCCTCGCACGGGCGGCCCCCGTACTGTGGCGGTGAGCAGGCCCGCGTGCGTGTGCGCTGGCCACGGCCGCAGGTGAAGGAGCAGAGGCTCCAGGGCGACCACTCCTCCCAGACGCCGTGCACTGCAACAGAGAGGGCAGGCAGTCACACCGCGCGGCCCGCCGCCCGCGCCCTGCATCCCTCTGGCCCAAACCCCGCACCCCGCGCCCGCACCCGCACCCACAGACCCAAACTCCGCACCCCATTGGCCCGCACCCTGCATCCCCTCCAGCCCGAACCCTGCACCCTAAACCCAGCGCCCTGCACCCGCGCCACACAACCTGCACCCACACCCTACGCCCGCACCCCATGCCCGCGGCGCCCGGAGCCCAGAAAAGGACTGGCTGTGCACGCGCCATGCGCCTTCGAACCAGTAGCCTTTGGTAACCAGTTGCCTTCTTTGCCCAGCACATAGGATCCCGTGCCAGGGTCGCGTCCACCAGGCTGGCTTAAACCTTCCAGTCAGACATTAAAAACCACCAGCCAGTAGGGGACACCCTTAATGCTGAGGATTCGGGTTTCTAATACATCTTGAACCCTGGGTTTTGTGAAATCCCAAAGGGTTTTCCTTCTGAACTCCCTCCCCTCGCCTTCCACCAAGGAGCAGGGTCTCTTCTGTGACAGGCCAGACCCTCCTCCCCTCTCCTCCTCCATCCCTCTCCTCTCCCCTCCTCCCTGTTCTCTCCATCCCTCCCCTCCCCTCCTCCCTCTTCTCTCCATCCCTCCCCTCTTCTCCCCTCCTCCCTCTCCTCTTTATCCCTCTCCCCTCCTCCCTCTCCTTTTTATCCCTCTCCTCTCCCCTCCTCTCCCCCTCTCCCCCTCTCTTCTCTCACCCTCCCCTCCTCTCTTCCCACCTCCATACATGCAGGGCACCTGCAGCTGGCGCAGTGCAGGGGAGCACAGGGCTCCTGCCCTGACAGCCGCCCACCTCCACCCTAGCCTCTAACACACTCAGAAACCCTGCAGCCCACAGGAGCGTGAACATAACTACATGCTACATTCCAGCAGAAATGAAATATAATTCGCATTTCATCACCGTAAACACCACCAGCCAAGGTGGAGGTCTTTTACCAAATATCAATTCAAACGTTAGATCTCTTCTTTGAACCCCCAAACCACTGCTCTCACCCCAAGTCTCAGTGCTTGGGCGAGTGCGCATTACAAACAGAAGAGCTCGGGCTTTGGTGTATGCTCTGAGAAGTTTAAGACTTCAAACTTCTGAATAAGAAGGGGAGTGAAAACGAATGGTAGAAAATGACAACAGAATCTCTTTGGTGGAGTGTGCACAGTTCCACACGACAGGAGTCATGGGAGAAGTCATAATATTTCTAGCCTCTTCTCATTTAGATTCCAGCCAACGTGATATTGAAAAGCTTAAATCTAGCTAATTAACAATTGCATTGCATACAGCTTTTTTTTTCCTTTTTGCTGAGATTAGTTAGCATTCACTGGACATGCTAAACATTTTTTTAAGGTTACATGTCCTCAATAAATGAATCTACATTAACCACAATGTACAATAATAATATACTATCCAGTGAAAAAAGCCTTTTTAAAATAATATGAGACACATGAAACCTCACCTCATATTATTTTAATAAGGCTTTTTTAACTGAATAGTATATTATTAATGATTTGTTCTTGTGGATACTACTAAATTGATAGAAATTTATAGTACTACTTTATAATGTTTACACGTGAAATTCATAATATGCTAAAGATTAGAAGTTCTCATTGTAATAGAAAAATTATTATATAAGGTCTTTTATTCTTCAGTAAAATATGGAAATCTCTCTGGTGGATGCAAAATTTGGTACCAATGACTCCCTGGCACTGAAATCACATTCACCCACTTCACAGTGCTCTTCGCCTCTGGCCGGGCCATGCCGCCCTGTGTCTTCATCCTGCTGAGCAGATAACTTGCACAGAACACACCCAACAGGCCGCCTGCAGACGTGCCGTGCACATATGCGCGTGCTCTGATTTAGCTGGGCCAGAGGTGAGGCACTCCCATGAGGGGAAGGGTGTTCAGTGGGAGCAGGGTGTGAGCTCTGCCAGGCTGTGCAGAGCTGGGGGGGCTGCGGTCCCTGGCCAGGCCACTGCCCGCTGTAACACAGATATCATCTGCAGACACGTTTGGAAGAAGGCAGGTGTGCTAGACACCGAGGGGTGCAGCCAGGGACCCCACCAAGCTCACACCCTGAGGGACCAGCAGGCACCACGCCTGGCCCAGCAGGGCCACAATGCCCAGGGACTGCGCAGATGCAGAACCTGGAGCTGGCCACAAATGCAAACGGGAAGATGCACACCCTGGTGCTATGGCCCTCTGCTACATTCAACTTCATTTATCCTCTACTCTCCTCTGAGTAAGAACTGCTGATGAGGAGAAAACTGTCAAAGCAAAAACTGCAAATCTTAGGATCCATAGGCAAAGTAAGAGAATGTGATTAGATGTAACGCTATTGATTAATCATTGAGCATGCAACTTATAGTAATACTTAAATATAAGCAAGCTCCAGTGTCATCATTGCATTTGTTCTGTGGATTTTGATTTTAATATTGAAATTTGTCTTTTTCTTATGCCACTGTCTTTAATTAAATGCCAAAGAGATTAGTTTCACAGAGTCTGAGACAGTCAGTTACTCATTCATGTCTCAGTTATGTGGAGAGAAATTTATTATTTTATAAAGGAGTTTACATTGTTTAAGATAATATTTCAATTTTAAACTATTTTTAAATTTCACTTGTTCCTAATTTTCGGGACACATTAGATTGACAAACAAGTGAAAGTTGTCTCAGGATGGCAGATAACAAAAGTATTGAGCACTGAATATGCCATAACAAGACAATGACCATTTGCCAGAAACCTGACTTGCTATAACTGGATTCCTTGAATACATTTTTAAAAGAAGGAAGTTATCAAGTTATTTTTCATATTTGGAAAATTAAAAATAAATCAACAAGACTAACCTCTTTAATTGAGCAAATTGAGCTGTAAGAATGATTTACATGTAAGCTTCTCTTATCAACATTATGCAACTTAATTTAGAAAGACAAAAACTTCATGTATATGAAAGCAAAAATTAACTAGTAGTTATATACATTTCTTCTGTAGAGGTAAAGTTAAGAAGTTTAGAAAGCAAAGAAATCTATACACAAAGTATAATCTCAGTTTAAAACAAATTTGTCCATGTGGTAGGCCTAGAACTAGGGCTTGAACTCAGGGCCTGGGCAATGTCCCTTAGCTGAGGTGCTCAAGATTTTTGCTCTACCACTTGATCCACACCTCCACTTTCAGACTTTATCTGGTTTTGAATCTTGATTCTCAGATCTCAGCCTTCTGAGTAGCTAGGAGTTTAGGGGTGAGCCATCAGTGCCTGGCTCATTTACTGTCCTGTTTTCAGAGGTATTAATTATTGATCTTTTCTTGATAATTACATATTTTCCCCCTCAGAGCCTTTGGTTGTATGTTTAATTTTGCCATCATCTACTGCTCATCTTGTTTCTTACTTCTGCTATCAAGTGACTACCTGCCTCGTTCCATCATGCTGCTTACTGTTCTGTCACCAAGTCCTGCTTTGATTTCCTCCAGTTTCTCTACTGGGATAAATACATTAAACATAAAATTTACTATCAAAGCCATTTTAGTGTTTAATCCAGTGCAGGTCTTTAGGCAGCTTCATACATCTGTGAAACCGAGTCTCAGAACCTCCTTATTTTGTACATCTGAAACTCAGTATCTATTAAACAACTCCTTTAAACTTATGTGTAATGGATCACATTGACTATCTGCTAGGAAGCAAGGCCTGCCCTCATTCATCCATGCTACTACTTGAGCCACAGCTCCATTTCCAGCTTTTTTGTGATTAACTGGAGATTAAAAAACAAAAACAAAAACTCATGGACTTTTCCTGCCAGGGCTGGCTTCGGAGTACAATCCTCATATCCCAGCCTCCCTAGTAGCTAGGATTACAGCCCGACCACCAGTTCCTGACTCTACACTTGTTTTAATCAAGTGCAGAATCTGCAAATGGAGATCACCCAAAATTGTATGCATGCCTTAGCTGACAATCTCTTTCCAAGGGCTCCACAAAGACTGCACACGCACTAAGGAAAAGCGCACAGTCCCCAGCCATGGAATGCTCAGGCAAAAATACAGGTCTGGCCAGACACTAGTGGCTCAGACCTGTAATCCCAGCAGCTCCAAGGCTGAGATCTGAAGATCAGTCCCGCAGAAAAAACACCAAGTCTCTTATCTCCAGTTAACCAGCAAAAAGCCAGAAGTGAAGGTACGGCTGGTAGAGAGACAGCCTTGAGTGAAACTGCTAAGGGACAACCGCCAGGCCCTGAGCACGAGGCCCAGGGTCACATAAATAAAATGAAATGAAGTAAAATAACTAAAAGGAAGTGAAATAAAGGAAAATAAAACACAAGGGAGACAGCTGAGGTGACGCTATTAGAAGAGGTAAATAAGAAACTGGCATCTGCAGTGGGAGGCCACACGCAGCAGTGCGGCCAAGGCGTGGTGACAATGTCAGAGGGAATGAGCAAGGCGCACAGGTGAGGCATGACACAGTTCAAGCACATCCACAGGGAGGTACTGCTAACACTACCTGGACAGAGGGCAGTGTTATTGCAAACCCGTGACTCTCTTAACGGACCGCTGCAGTGAGTCCCGAAAGGTGAGACACAAGTTCTGGTTCGCACCTGCGACCCTTGACCGCAAGTCACAGAGCACGGGCTCCACGGAGACCAGTCCTCCACGCCAGATTCACCTGCGTGCGAGACAACAGACAAGCGTGAGACACCACCGCCCACCACCACCCCCCGGGGCATCACTGTACCACACGTGACATTGTGACATGCTTGAATAAGCCAAAAGCAAAATTATGACAGTACAGCAAATAGACAAGGAAAACATTTCAGAGGTAACCTGCCTTAAGGAGGGGTCCACACCATGCGATACAAAGACCTGTATGTGCCATGACCTTGGTGACAAAACCCTCCACAACTACCCTGCTGTGTGTGTGGACACTAGGCGGGCTCTCATCACGTGTCAGGAAGGGTGACAGCAGAGGGCATCTCACTCTGCTGGCTTAGGATGCTATACTTGGGTGGCAAGAAGCAGCAGCTACATCTGTGCCCCTGCTGTTCTGGTGCACAGGAATGGCTGTGCCCTGCCCTGGAAGTCCCCTGCATAGCTCCCTTCTGACATGACCCACGGGGGAGCTGAGGGCTGGAGTCTGTTTGTAGGGTACTGTGAGGAACACTGATACATTTGTCTAGTCAATAATTTACTGTGGGTGAGACTCCTTTTTCAGCCTGTAATAGCTACGTGTTTTGTAGTAACCTATTAAAGTCCTTCTGCTGCTGATTCCTCATGATCTCAGGTAGAGAAGTAGGATTTTTAAAATTGGAAACAAACAAAAATTCCTCAATATGTATTAACTTGTGAGGGAACGGCAGTGTACTCCACATAGGGCTCTGAGAAGCCAACTGGTGTCTGCATGCTCTCCCGCAGCTCGCGTCTGGCCAAACTCCTGCTCTCTGTGAACACTGAGTCAGGGCTCCAAGGGTGTTAAGAGTTCCAGATGCCATCGCTGGGGGCTGCTACTGCTCTTCTGGCATCAGGACCAGGGCAGACTTTTACAACTGATTCCAACAGTTGCTACTGTTGTCCTCAACTTCAACTGGGTTTTACTTGGAGCAGGAACTCTTTAAGTTAGACAGGTATTTACTGGCTGGGAAAAAACTGTACAGGTGAGGTGTTTCTGAGAACTTTGGTCCACTGATGATAGAGACCTGGGAGTGAACTTTGTTTCAGAGATTCTGTCTAGATTTTGCCTCTGAAATACAATTCAAAGGATACAAATGATAATCAGCCTTCTCTTTTCCTTTTTAGAGTAAATGACATGGGAGTCCTCGTATGTGCCACTCAAGGGCAAGCTAGGCCAAACATGGATACTCTCAAAGACAGGAGTTTGGCCCAGTCTGTGACTCTGTTGTGCAAAGGAGAGAGCCAGCTAATAGAATGCATACTCCTGAGGAAGGGGTCAATCTCACATCTGGTGAAATCTGCTGAACTGGAGGCTGAGGCAGCTCCCGCGTGAGCACCAGTCCACGGACACCCTCGGGTCTGAGCATTCGCTCCGTGTAGCACTATGCACGCAGAGGCACGAGTGCTGGCTCACTGAAGAACGGATGCTCAGCACACGAAGCAGGGCTCTCCTTAACACCGTGAACTATGTGAAGCTTAAAAGTTCTTCCTTGATCATGCCTCAGTTTCTGTCCTATTTCACCTGGACACATTTATGTGTAACTAACTTCCTGCATGTGCTTGGCTGATGACGCAAGCCGACTTGGAAGACAGGTTTCATAATTGGTTCTTTTACATCCGATTATATTCCTGCCAGACAGAAACATCTTCATTTCAATAAGGCCAATGGTAGGACAATGTTTGAAAAAAAGTAGCCACATACATATATATGTTTATGTGTACTGTGTATATTTAGCAATGAAAATTTGAGGCTCAAGTTAGAAAAAATATAATGTGTTTTTAATGATTTCCAACCTGTTGTAATGAAGTTACATGAAATATAAATATTATGATTTTATGATATTGATTAAGAGCCAGAAAATTAAAAGCAATGTGAGTTCTCTAATAAGTGAAATGACAAAGGTTATGAATAAAATTAGCTTCATTTGCCACAGAACAATTGTTCTCTTCTGCTTTCACTGTTATCATGACAGAAAAACATATTTGAATTAAACCAAATGAAGAGCTAGGCTCAATACATACTTTTAAACAGACTTTTGTGTCCATGTGGCACATTCTGTGCCACTGTGAGTATCTGGCCCTGCATTAGGCTGAGCGGGGAGGCTGGACCGTGGAGGCTTACTCGATGCTGCTTCCCTAACACCAAAGCTTCTTGTAGAACAAAAACAAATAGATGGAATTGAACTAAGGGAACTGAGTTAAATTCTGCCACTGTAATTGTGGTCTACCTACCAAAATGATTTCATTCTAACACAAAGGCTACCTTTTCAGGTGGTATTTTCCATCAGTATTTCTTAACGCTATGCTTCTTCCTTATCCGAAGTGTAGAAGCCCTGCCGTTGGAATTCACTGGTTTATGGTGGAACACAGCTCAGGCATCTTAAAGACATGTACTTGTGAAGTATTCAACGACATGTAGAGGGCACAGAGCAGACTGTGCCTCACAGGTTTCCTGGGAGATGTCAGATGCACTGGAGCCTTCCCCGCCTCTAAGAGATGTCGTGGGTGCAGGGGAGGCATCAGACTCTGTCCCGGGAGGAAACAGCAGAGCCAACGGGAAAGTTCTGCACATGCAAGGTCTGTGTTTGGTGGGAAGCTACTGAATGTCCTAAGCTCGTGACATTATCAAAATACTTTATCCCTGTGAACGTCTCCAATCAAATGGGATGTATCTACTTCCCAGTGGGCCTGTATTATGCAAAGTAATGTGTGTGAGTGCATTTTAGCACACAAACAAGATGTTAATGTAACATGTTGCTAGTATGTTAAAGGAATGGGATTAGAAACACACACTTTTATTTTATTTTTTCTATTTTAGGTAACAGGATATTTTGGCCTAACGTGGGCTGTTTTCCTTGTGACACTAAATATGTTTACAAATTCATTTGATGTTAAAAGTTGGTCATTGAGACGTTCTCTTTAATTATTACTCTGTATTCTTGTTCTCAAATTACTGTTAAGAAATTTTTATCAACCGCACCAGTGTCTTGGTTTGAAAGAGAAGTCATATAAATTTAATTTTTATAACATTTAATGCCATCTGCGTTTGTTTAGGCGACATTAACACCTAAAGAAAGTACTCAGAAAACATTTTAAAAAGAAATAGCCCTTTCCTTTTTTAGTTTTATAAGTGCCTAGCATCAAATTCTGTATAATTAAGAACTAGTAAATAATAACAAGGTTTCACAGTCTCAGCTCAGTATTCTAACTTATTTTTGTTTTGTGTGTGTATGTGTGTGTGTGTGTGTGTGTGTGTGTGTGCATGTGCATGTGCATGCGCACATGCGCACCAGTACTGGGTCTTGAACTCAAGGAACTCAGGGCCTGTGCACTATCCCTAAGCATTTTTTGCTCAATGCCAGAGCTCTACTACTCGAGCCACAGCTCTATTTTCAGGTTTTTTAGTAGCTAATTGAAGGTAAGAGTCTCACAGACTTTCCTGTGCATTCTGGCTTTAAACCACGATCTTCGGATCTTAGCCTCCTGGGTAGCTAGGATCCCAGGTGTGAGCCTGAGGACCTGACTCTAATTTCTGTTTTATTTATTTAATTTTGTACAATACTTGGGCTTGATCTCAGGCCCGCACACATTTGCTTGGCTATTTTGCTTAAGGCTGGTACACCATCACTTGAGTTACACCTTCACTTCACTTTTGATGGTTAATTGAAGATAACTTAGCATCCTGGGCTGGCTTCAAACTACAATCCTCAGAACTCAGTCTCCTATGTAGCTAGGATTACTGACATGAGCCACCAGTACACTGCTCCTAATTTATTTTAAAAATAACTATATATAAGTATATATTTATGCTTAACACTACTTACTTCTAAAGCATTTCTGGTTTAAAATGGAAAGAATAATCAATATACATTTTGCTTATGAATTCAGCATCCAATCAATATTTTAGAACTTTAATTTTAAAATGTGTTTCTTTTTCTGTGTCATTCTTAATAACATGTGGAAATGATTTTATGGTTGTCATGAATCTAACAAACATTTTGTCTCTTTACAAAATCATGTGTTACTACAAATAAGAACTAGACACAACACAATGGAAAATAATGAATAAATGCAAAATCTGACAATATTTTCTAAGAAAGGCAATGTACCTTGAGAATTGAATTTGCTTTCAAAGATTTTGGCTGGAAATTGTGAATGTTCTGGTTACATTTTGCAAGCAAATTAAAAAAAATGGAATCTGAACAAAAACTCCTGGCCAAATTGTATAAAATTTCATATGCAAGCTAATTTTCCTACATGAGTAGAAATTAAGAATAACTGTTTTCCATTTTACTCCTTGACTTATCTGAATTTTCTCCTGCAAAAATAAAGACTATCTTTTCTGATCCTGCTGATATTTCTCCAGGAGAGAAGCCCTGCAAGGCTGTCTACTCAGCCTCTTCATTTAGAGTCAAACATCTTTAAATCTGTTCCATGGCTGATCATTTTGCTCCCAGAATTAGAGCAAAATGTTTAGAATTTTAGGAACTGGTCTAAACATGGTAATGCACTTTTGAACTTGGCCAGGCAGGTAATAAAATAGAAATTGTTGTTTCTTTTCTTTAACAAGAAGGAGCATGAAAACTCAGCTGAGAATGTTTTCTTCATTCCTGTCTTTGACAACTGTGTTTTGATGATCTTGTTTCAAAACAAAAATCCCCCCAAAATATGGCCTTGTGGAATTATTATAAACATTCAGCCTTGGGAATCTGACAGGTTCAGCTAATCTATTGAAAGGGACTGTGTATCTCTTATCAAAAACACAAATTCAGTAACATTTGCATTTTAAGTTATAGATTTGGGCAAGTGTTCTGAAGAAACATCATATAAATACTGAGGACAAACCTATTCTCTGGGGGGATTTCATTAGACAGAGTAGAAATACCATGTGAGAGAAATGAAAATTTATTCATTAATGCCAAAACAGCTCACATTTACAACTTTATAAAGACCGAGATAATACTCTTCATTTAAAATTTCCCCAAATAAAGTTGAGGGCTATACACATTCACAACACAGTTTTAAATACTTTTTCATTTGAAGGGATACCACATGCAGTGACCTGAATGGAACTGTAGCCCACTGATTATGACAAAACAAAGATGAATGCATATACTTGATTAAACTCTATAGCTAGAGGATTAGCAAAGATTCTGCATATTCAGAATTTAATTATATGTATTAATTTACACATTATTTGTAATAAGGCAATTATCGGTCATGTATATGTAGGTGTTTAAAATAATTTGCCATTGAAACTTTTATAATCTAGATAGTCATTTTTGTTGACATTTAACTTTTTGAAATCTATTTCAGCTTAGTATCTGAGACTATCAACTTTTTTTTTTACTATTTAGCTTATATAACCAAATTCTTTTCAAATCAAATATTAAATTATTAGAATGTTTTAACGTGTGTATATATAGACAGACATTCAAGTAATATTAAGTAATATTTACAGGCTTTAACAGTTGAACAAATCATTCATTGCTAAATTTAATCCTCTAAGTCCTATTTAAATTCTTGAAAGTCTTATATCAATTAATTATTGAAGAAATAAACTTTATTATTTTTCTTTACAAGCTTAATAACACATTTTAATGCTTAATTATGTGTCCGTGTGTGCCAATACTCGACTTTGAACTTACAGCCTTGTACTCTCCCTTGGCTTTTTTGCTCAAGGCTGGAGTTCTACTACTAGATTCACACCTCTGCCTCTTGTGGCTGGTTAAATGGAGATGAGAGTCTCATGGAGTTTTCTACTGGGGCTGGCTCTGAACTGTGCTCCTTAGACCATAATGACCTGCTTAGCCAGAGTTACAGGTGTGAGCCATCAGCGTCAGGCTACTGACTGTTTAGCAACAGGGAATACTAACATGTAAAACCTAAATATCTAACACAAAATAATCTTTATACATTGTTTGTGCATTTTTCAATTCCAAGCTACTTTATTTATGGACTTTAACTGGTGACAAAAAAATGACTAAAAAAAAAAATCAGCTCCAAAAACGGACAGATGTGCAGCACAAAATCATGACAACATGCAGTGGTTCCATTAAATTAACAACAATAAATAGGAAAATGTAACTAACGTATTACCAGTTTGTGCCATAAATTTAGCAGCATCAGCTGGCTCCTGAGGGACCCTTTTTTCATGAACAGATCGAGGTCGCTGACTTTTTATTGTATGATCTCCCATCATTCCAAATTCTAAAGACAGAATAAAGGTATATGAAAGCTTGTGTGTAGACATTTCTCACAAATTACATTACTGTCTCATGCATTATGTTCCGGGGCATAGCTAGAAGTTATTGCAAAGACACAATGCTAAATTTTCTAGACTAGTCTGCTTGTACTCAAGTCAAAACCTGCAGACATGAACAAGATTGTAAGAAGCAATAATCACAGTCAACAAAGATACATCGGGTGTTAGGTCAGATTCACTAACAGAAATACTGCATTCTACGCTGATAATATTCTGAAGCAATATGTCAGAAAGACAATGCAACCATACTGTGTTAGTGGTTGTTTTCCAGAGAGAAAATCCTCACTGGCTGACACCTGCCTCTGCAGACGAGGAATTGGCCCCTTGGGTTTTTCAGCACTTATCTAAAGGGATGAGTAATTCTTTTTAACTTCTCTTGGGAAGGAGGGGACAGATTCTCCCTACATAGCCCCAAGCTGGCTGGCCTCAAACTGGCAATCTGCTTCCTGAGTGCTGGAATTGTAGGCTGGAGCCACAATGTCTAGCTAGAAGTAAGTAATTCTGCAATCTAACTTTCCCAAGGTTAACATTCATATAATGGATTATTTCACTATTCAAAGATGACTATGTTCAGTATCTCAAAGGCCCACAGAAAACGGATATTCTTGTAATTCTCATTTTCTCTAGGCCTGACTCAAATAATCCCTTGTCCTTGTAATCACAGGTAAAACTGATTTCTCTTGTAAAAGCTGTATTCCAGGATGGAGAATGGGCTGGGGTTTCTATTTAAGCTTTAAAACAAATCCCTTAGTGGGGGAAAGGAAAATCACTAATTGCACTCCACTCACAGGTGGGTGGAGGGGGGAAGAAGTTGAAGAAGAGAATGATTTCAGAGTAAAATATTTCTAAAACCCCATAGACTTGAACTTTCTGTACTTAGAATTCTGAAAGTTTTGTGTTTGCTGATATGCATGGTAAAGCAAATTTAGGAGAACCAAAGCCTAATGCATGGAGTAACTTGCTGGTTCTGGGTTGTAAGCATGTAGGTGAGGTGGAGAAATCCCCCTTGGACAGGTACCCTGGGAACTTCCCCCCTCCCACCACAGAGGTCAGAGAGGTCAGCTCCAAGAATTGTAATGGCAGGGCAGCCATTTTACCAGAACCAAAAAGGTCAAAATTTGGGGATGCAAAAGCCTAGTTCCCTCTTCTGTTTTTCTCTTACTAATTTTAAACATTCTTCTGTTAAAACATGAGAACTAATTTTGCAATGTGTTTTGTAAAGCTCTAGTCTTTTGTGTGAGAAAATCATAAAGACTCTTTGTGTGTCCTGAAAATTTACCATAAACTCTTGATACCTCATCAGCCAACCTGCTGGGAATTTTGTGTGGAAAGCCAATCTGAGAAGACATGCCCTGGGAAATTTGATGAATTTAAATAGGTATTTGTTTTGTTTTGCCAATTCAGATTACACCCAAAAGAGAAAATGGAAATTTTCATAAAATGTCATTTGATCTGATAAACTCCATCACTCCTTCCCAGCACTGCCAACATCCTTCTATTTCCTTGTGTCTACGTGTGGTGCTTGAGCTAGTTTACAGCAGGCTTCTAACAAGAAGTATCTATATACAATTGAATGGTTTGTGAAACTGGCTATTTAGAATGTTTTATGTACAAACTCCTAATGTTTACGTGTTAAACCAATGGAATGTTGTTAAGACCTCAAATTGCAAAAGAACTCAGCAATATATGTATTTTTTAACATGTCATCTCCTTTGCTGTGGAATTTATATAATTCAGGTGATGCCTGACATGTATACCTGCTTGTGGTCACTGTCTGTGTTTCATCATGAATTGTGGCTTTAATGGTTACACTATGGTAGTTTTGGCAGCGAGAAGGAAAAGGAAGCCAGCATACTTATTATTCCAGATCTACAAATTCTGAATCATATATATTATATAACCTGGTTTTGGTTTGCTCACGTGTTTATTGCTTGCTGAGTGGTATTGGGGTTTGAACTCAGGGCCTTGAGCTTTGGAAAGGCAAGCACTCTGCCACTTGAGCCATGTCTAAGCCCTATCCTGCTTTAGTTTTTTTTCAGATAGGGTCTCATATTTTTACCCCAGGCTTTTTGCTGACTAAGATTCTCCTACCAATATGCCTGAATAATTGGAGAGATAGGTAACAGGCAAACACCATCACACTCAGCTTGTTTGTGAAGATGGGGTCTCACTAAACTTTTACTAGGCTGGCCCAAACTTTGACCTTCCAGACAAGTCTCTCTCTAGTAGCTGGGATGAAAATTATGCACCACTGTATCCTACCTTAGTAAGCCATTCCTATTCTCTATAGAAGCATGGGGACAATCTGAACTCTTTCCTGTAAGGGAAAACAAAGCATTTGTGCAGGGAGTAAGTTCCAATGTTTGTGTTCTGGGTTGGCAACTGACACTACTGTAACTTTAGTAGAAAGTATCATGTTGAATTTTTAATGATTTGTTATAAATATGAATCAAATAAAATGTACATTTATCAAGTTGAATTTAAGTAATTTAGTTCATCTCATTTGCTGGAATGCATTTCTATATTTCAAAATATTTATAATAGAAATTAAGTCTCCACACATCTATCCTACTCATTACAAGATAGGTACTGATTGTTCTATGAACAACAGAGCTGACTGTCACCATATTTAAGAAGATTTTTAAAAAATTTATGAATTATTAATATTTGAACATTGAAAGTATAATTGTTGATGATTGTCAATGTAGTTTACCAGAAAATTAATTTTTCAAAAGTAAGTATGTGACCCTGACATAAATTCTCTATAAGATATACAGTGGCATAAATTTCTATATTTTTAACATGGGGAAACAATACAAAGGCAGTATTTTAAAAATATTCTGGGGCTATTACTCCAGATCTAAAAGAACTGAAATTTATAATTGAAATATGCAAACTGTTACCTACCCAGTGAGGCTCTTTTACCAATGTTTCTAGTCCAATTGATAAAAGTAAGTCTTATTTGTTTTAGTGTTCCAGGGTAAGATTTAACAAAAAAATTACATTTCCTTCCAAATTTCATACTTGATTATCTTATAAACATTGATGTGTCTTTCATAATGTATAACTTCTACTTATAATCAAGTAAAAACCTATTGGATCATTCAAACTTAAGAAAACAGCAAAGTATTGTTTTTACAATTGTTCATTATGGTCTGTGGTAAACTTTTAGTATATTGTGCTTTTTGGGTAAGTTTCAAAAGTTGGTTCACAGTCAAACAATTCTGCATTGGCAAAGATAATATACTACATTAGTTACATGAGGAAATAATTCAGCCAAATAAAAAGATGACCGGCTTGGGTGAAAGCAATGGAAAGCAAGTTATGAAATCAAATGAAATAAGGAGTAGCATAATATTGTGAATGTGCTGATGAAAATGGAGTTATTTCCTATATTTTTATGCTACGCTGATGTGGGTAAATAACTTCAAGAATAAGATCCACATGACTGACAGTGGCCTTCATAATCTGGGATATTTTGCCCACATATCTTTCGCTGTGCTCCTTGCTGTAAGCAGTCCTGCCTTGGCATGAAAGAGACAAAGGTCCACCAAAGAGAGATTTGGGAAGTCTTTGGCCTTAAATCTAGTCTTGTGTCTCTTCCCTCCTGCAGGTTCATAGAGCCATTAAAAATAAATAAGTAAGTAAGTAAATAACAGACTTTAGATTACAATGGTTGGTTATGATGCTTTTGTCTGAAAAGCAAGGTTTGTAATAATGGATGTCTTAATCCATTAAAAAGTTAAAAATCACACATGTCCATTTGTTATTACACCATTAAAAAAACATTTTTACACACTCAGACAAGGATATCATCAGATAAGTAGATGACAGTCATCTTCGCAAAAGCCTCCAGCATTTCCATGGGAACCTCCTAAGCCCAACCTCCTAGGCTCTCAACAAGCTCCCAGATTTATGTGCTGAACACATTCAGAGGCCAAACTCTACTATTGTTTGTCATGGCAGGGGCCAAGGGCTGCTCACAAAGACCCCTTGAAATAAATCCCCTACACCCCTGCCTCCACAGACTGCGCCTCTGAGCTATCGGCCACCCGCCCACAGGAATGGCTTTGCTGACTCCCAATTCCTGTTTTGTTTTGAAAAAACATGGAGTTGCATTTTAACTCTTAAATTAAGTAACTTTCCTTATTATGGCACCATACATAAGTGAAAGAAAGTGTGTCTTATGAAATCAAAAATCAATTCTTGTTCTGTGTGTAGACAGAATTCAGTATTTATTTACTAAATGGCTCATCCAAGGAGCATTTGCTGAGGGCGTACAAAGCCAATTATTTATTAAGCACTAAATCCTATGTTTAAAACTGCTTATTCAAAATGCACATCACTGTCTATTTAGGGTCATTCTTACAACTCAGTCTGGGGGGGGGAATTAGAACTTTATACTTGAAAATTATTTACATCAGCTTATGATTACCATGATCAGAATTTCTGCCATCAACAAAGCTTATTATCTACCATTACATCTACCATAACATTCATATTATATTTAAAATTTTACCTCACTTACAACTTAAATCTAACTGCTGTGAAGTAAAGATTTTAATAATCATTTATTAGCTACTGAATATGCACTAAGGACTAAAGAATATAAATAAGACATTTTCCTGATATTCTAAAGTTCACAGTCCAAAGAAATTCACTAAAGAAGTATTTGAAATATGTAAAAGTAACTTTTCCTAAATCCTAGAATACTTTCTCTATACAATGATTTGTAATACAGCTCTAAAGAGCAGATACAGCTTTTAAGTAATTCAACTGGACAATTGAGATGATATCATTAATTGAAATCTAAAGGAAAGAATATCAGATACATTATTTGTTGGGAGAAGAAAAATCCAATCAGAGTTGGCTTAGGTGGGAAAGCTGTGTAAATTCTGTTCAGAAACAATCAGATATTCTTAGAAAGATTTGCTTTTACATATTT